CAAAAGGGGATGAGTCATCGCTACACACGGGCCTTCATGCACGCACACTCGCGCGGGGCGGCTGTCAGTCCACTACATACTAAACATCATGCTTAGGTCTGCTTTTAACAACACTCAATTCAAAACTGAAGCACTTAAACACAGAGGCAAAATCACTAAAAAAGACCAAACACTTAAAGCTCATATTGAGTATGCTGCCAGACATCAAGTACACTTAAAAACGAAAAATGCAATTTCGCGTCGGAGTGTGTAGCTAGGCCTTTTTATGTGACGAAGACAAATCCGCTTATCTGCTGAGGCTATTTGCATTTTAAGCATGCCAAAACATATCAGTTGACGTGTAGAGGACTTGCAACAAGTTAAGCCTTTCCTTAATGCCCCGAAACAGCGCCTTGAGGCATTGGCTTAGAGGCAAAATTCACTCGTAAAAACATGGACAATTCGAAGGGCGCAGACAGTCTGCCAAAACTGAGATCAGACGGCGTGGTGGGTGGTTAACACCAACCACCCAAACACTGAATTTTACTGCGTGAAACAATTCAATGACAATACAGATTGCGCGTCTTAACTTCAACGCGATGACTCCCGGCACCCAAATCTCAATTTAAACCGGCCAATTCCTTAACCTGACTAGCACTCACATGCTCGCACACTTTTGAATGCCTCCTCAATCAAGTTACAAAACATTAACGAAAAAATTATAGCGCTATAGCTGTGTGCAGCAATGCGTGACTGGCTCATGGACACATTAGTGATTCGAGCAAGGCAATTAAGGCCACATTTTAGCTTGGTGCCTAGTTAATTTGGACTACGCATTACGAGGAATTGATTCAAATTGTCCTGTGATTTTGCCTTCGACGCACAATGGCAAAGTGAGGTGATGAGGGACGAAAAATTATACGTGAAATGGGTCGCCTAAAATACTACACCCACTTTCCTTACTAAAGGGTTCAAAGACACTGTTAAGGGAGCGTTTCCAGGGCTAGGCGGTTCATGTGAAAGATTCTGACCGCAAGAAAAGGGTCCTGCTAACCCCGGCGACCAGTCCGCAAAGGAGGCACTGGTTTAAACGAAAGTAACCGGCAATATGGAGGGGAGAGAGCAAGCTTTCTCCCAACCACTATCAATAGGAGACTAGAACTCCCATAATGTTGACGACCACTAGCCATACACTCTACCTAGACAGACATACTCGACAGACGCCGCAGGCAATGAAATTAATCACCACTAACAAATTCGCGTAAAAAAATGAAGTTTATTGTATCCATTCACAGGTTGGCCTGCTCCAGCTCCAGCTTATTAAAACGACAGCACGAGCATAGGTTTGAATCCGCTGGACAGGAGGGAGAGGAGGGTATCGCAGGGCTGCAGTCCATTTCCAAGGTCCGTGATATCCACGCTGAGTGGTTGTAGGATGCCGCTGCTGTAGCTCCTGCCTCAGGACTGTCGGCACCCTCGTATTCAGCCAATGGAGCCTAATAAAAAAAACAAATATGATGAAAGATATTACAAGGCAAGCGCATTTTGGCAGACAAGTATACTTTAGGAATGATTTCCTTAATGCCAAATGGTCTAAGTGCTAAATTTCCTGGTAAGAACCCCACTTGCAGAAAAACACGTTCCTAAGAGAGTTCGGCTGCACAGATATAGAGTTAGGGAAGTCAGTATTCCCCAAGAAATGAAATTTGTCATTGTTTACACAACTGTCTCTGACTGAGCAGGTAATGGGGCACAACAGACAAAGGGTTCATCCAAATGCACTTGTGTCTGTTTACCGGTAAGTATGACATGAAGGAAATCGACTGCCGGCATAACTCAGTACGGCCAAGTACGCCAGAAGCGGATCTTGTCAAAATTTCCAAGATGAGAAAAAAGGGACAAGAAACAGGATGGTAGGGGTGAGGCGTTGATGTAACAGTAACAACCACCAGCAGATCCAAGGAATGTACATAAATGAAGCCGAGAGATAACAGCACAGTCCGTCGGAGAAGTTCACTTACCACCCATTCGAGAAATCCTCGTGGCTGACCGTAACCACGATACCCACTACAGAGCCTGTTTAAATCCTTTTCTGAGTGGCGCAAAAGTTGATCTTTTTTAAATAACGACGCAAAATTTACGGACACAATAGAACCCATGAATGTACGTAAGTTATTAGTTAATGCAACGATGACTGCATAAAAATGTTGGCAGCTTTTAAACACAACTAAAGGTGTGAAGATTGAAATAGCAGCACATTCGGACCACCATGAAGCGAGACATAGTGCCAGTTCAAAAAGCGCTAAAACACAATTTTTCTGCGAGATTTATTAATTCCACTATGAAATCGTACGTGATAGGGACGAATCTAAGCCCTATTAAATTTTGATTGGATAAAAATTTGGTTTAAAGACAGTTAACAAACGTTGAGAGACTGACAAGATAAAATTAACATAAAAATCGCCATTAGGACCAACTTCTTCAGCTAGCAACAACTCAGAGACTTAAATTAAATTAGACAAATGGGCCGCCTTGAAAAAAAAAACACAAAACCAGACATGCCGGTAAAGCACCCGGACGTGTTTCGCGTCTATCAAAAATGCAATAAATGTCTTAAAAAGCAACACATCCAGACCAACACAGTCTTCTGTGATATTCGCAGCATTTAAAAAAAAGTGGCGTAATTTTTTTAAGAACTATAAAACCTGAGGTTGAAAAGAACCGGATGATCATAGAATACAGAATACTGGATAGTATCCAAGATGCATCAAATTACGTGACATTTAAAGTGCCAATTGACAACAGAGAGTCTTTGCATTACTTGCTACCGCATAAGATTGGGCAAAGTCAATTCATAACTTACGTAGCACGTTGCGCACCGGCGATCAGCTTCGTTCACATCTGAAAGCGTTTTCGAAGCAGCGCTAGTTAAAAAAAAACCGCAAGATTACGACGTGACAGATTGAACAAAGAAAACACTGCAGACCCAATAGGAGAGTAAAAAGGAACTTATGGTGTAGTGATCCGATGCAGACGAGAGGTAAATAAGCGCTATGCTCCAACAAAACAACTACACAACGTTGAATTCGTTATTTTAATAATCAATGGAATTAATGTGGCTCGCCACTAAGCTTATCTGTGATAAAAATAGCATTTACGCATTGCGTGATGACAAGTAATGATACGCAAACTCGCTTAAGACATGCAACTTCTAAATTAGAATTCAGAGAGGCTGACGGAGGAATCGCATGTCAGAATATCAATACCTCAATGAATGTAGAATGCGTGCGCGCGCGCGTGTGTGTGTGTGCCTATGCCAGGCCTGTTCAATTGAACTTTAAACTCAGGTCGATCAATCGACAGGTTCAGTGTGTCACCTGAACCGAAACCACCGCGATAAGCGACTACGTGCAGCAGACTGTGTGGTCTACAATAAATGCCGTCATTCTAAATCTGTGAGGAAATGCGTAAGTCATGCATGCCTCGACCGTAGATGCCACTCCAACACCTTGAAGGGAACGTTGCCCAATCAATGCGCACAACCCGGTGGACGAGACTTGTCGATTGGACATCCTTTGCTACGGCAATACAACCAAAATTTCAACACGAACCCCAGACACGTGACCAGACCGTCTGCAAAATACTTCGCTCTGCAACACGCAGGGGCGCTAGCCTCCTAATTTTTCCAGCGCCGGAAATCATTACGTTTTACGGCTTTGGTGTTACGACGGAAGACGAGATGCAGGCAAGGGTAGATTTGGCTCGTAAAGCGTTTTATTGCATATTTACTCTGACTGCCGGCACGCAAATTCTACTAATAACCAATTGGACGTTTAAATATGTCTAATCACGTGTTGATTGGAGGGACAATAAGTGCTACAGCCAACATGGACACATCGACCGGTCTGTCCTCTGAGACTGCAATAACGAAATCGAAAGGTGCCGCGTTGTGCCTCTAGGATGTTTACGTCCTACGTTTGAAATATAGAAGTCTCCGTCAATTCTTGACAGCGTGTGCCCAGTGAAATCTGTGATGCAGTGCTTCAAGGCTCAAGAATCCATCCGTATTTCAGGCATTTCCAACGCCTAAACACTTACACCGCAAATTCAATTGATCAGAACAAAGCAGAACCACATCATGAGGTAGCCTTCAAGCGCACTGACTTGGCCTCCACACACACACACGCAGATTTCATCTCCGATCCTTGGATGCGTCATTACCTTTTCATCCCCACCACAACATTCTGGAACCTCGACGTCACCAACCTAAACACCCTTATTGAGAGCACTAACTGGTTTCCCATCTTGTAAGGACATCAGCAGACTACTAGATGATAATTCCATGCAGAGAACGCTCTCACTTCCACAGTCTTTCTAAACACCACGAGCATTTCAGCTCCCTTGCCGCTACACTTTCACGCGTCTACGTCACGTACGTAGCATATTTCGAGATCCCCTCAGGCCTATGAACTGCGATCACCTCAGGCAATCGGTCAATGAGTCACTGCTTCAAAAAAACATAGGCTAACCCCCACAAAACCACGAAAGTCTAGTAGGTGGCAAACAATCGTGCCGGTTCCCGTAGATGTCAACACACTTCCGAACACCATTAATAACTATGCTCTAGTCTGGTAACGCCGATTGTGCTGCTGCAGATGAACACTGCACAGACATTTTCCTGAATCTAGAATGGCCTAGGCTCGAATTTACGACGCCAACACAAGAAGACAAAGCTCTCAAATATCCTGTCTAAATAAACCAGTAGATAGGC